TGCCATGCATTTCTTATGGAACTCACTTCGCTTGGACTCCTACATCGGAGAGACCAATCTCCTGACTTCGCAGCCAGTCCAGGTTGAAAATACACGAAGGAAGGCATCAGCGCCAGCAGAAGCAGTGGGAGAGCTTGCTATGGCGGTGGGAGTGCAGCTGACAGTTCCGAGAAGGAGATAATCAGTTTTTTCATGTTCGGAAACAAAGAATCTGAGTACGGAGGCACTGACACTGAGACTTCTTCTACTTCTCACGTATCAAGGGTGATTGTTGATGTGGCTACTCCGTATTTGCAGATCAATTATTCCTCGCTGACGTGGCAGCCCTGCACATGACGTGTGATTGCTGATGTGGCTACCCCTCTTTTGCGGATAACTGCCATGGCAATCGTTTGCTGACGTGGCTACCAGTATGACCTGGCAGATTCTTACGGACGTAATATTTGAATTTGTGCTCTGTATTTGATAGTGTTGATAGGTTAGGTGCATTTAATTTATCTTGTTGAATGTTGAAACAGCGACTTCCTTGACTCTCTTCTTGCATATAGTAATATCGTACGATATTTCAATTCCTCTGCTCCCTACTTGGCTCTGTTCAAAGGATAGATCTACAGATTACCAGTAGGCTCAAGTCTCCCACTGCCCCTTTCTCATATAGAGTGACTTTGCTTTAATTTCCCCCCCTTTACCAGTAGAGGCTAGTCTTGGATGTGCCCCTTTTCCCATATGTCATGGCTTTGCGTTAATACTCCCTTTCAACTGCAGATGCTTGTCTTGGAAGTGTTGCATTTTAGAACAGTTGGGTCAAAGTGGTACGGACTCTGCTATGTTTCCTTATTTTAGGTAATCATCTTTTCCCTATCTTTTCGAGACAGGAACTTGGTTGAAGTCAGAATTGCTGTTGAGTAAGTAGCTCCTTCTTCTACATGGCACCTGGCCATATTCCAGGCCAAAGCAGGGCATGGTGCATAGACTGCTATGGTTAGCAGATGCCCTCGTCTATTTGCCTAGGGGGAAAAGAGGGATTTTGTTGAATATTTTACTGTTCTGAGAAAGTTGGCGCAGCAGCCTACGATTGAGAGAGGGACCCAGTTTTAGGGGATCAGGGTGAAGCTCACAGAACTGCTAGCAGCAACGCCACCTTGAGCAGTGAGAGTGTAACAAGGGGCGGTGGGAAAGCTACTGGTCAGGTGGCAAGAGAGAACCGGTGAAGAGCAAACTTGATTTGTTCCCATTGTGATCAATACACTATGAAGATCCAAGGGAGCGTGGTGGGAAACCCGTCATGGCAGATCAGGCTCTGTACAGTGTTTTGGACAGAGAGTGTGAGAGGGCAGCCCTGTTGGAGAGGAGGGGGCCTTAATAGTCGAGCTGGTTGGTCTTATGGAGAGCATCTGGTCTTTGGAGTTCTTTTGTGTGCTGAGAAAGATTTTGGAAAACACATTCACTGACATCCACTCAAGATAACCCTTAAGGCAATATCACGACTATGGATAGCGGCACAGCGCAGGCAGTGTGAGTGTTACCGCCAGTGGTGGCAATGATATTCGCCCGGAGTTAGCACAAGTAGGGTAGGAAGCAAACTTGGACTGTATCCATGGTGATCTTGGTTCAGCGAATGTTGTTATCATTGAAGATCCAAGGGTGCGTGGTGGGAAACCCGTCTAGGTGGTTCAGGCTTCCTCGAGTTTACAGGTCTGTTTAGGTTTAGGTTAAGGCTGGCCAAAACGAGCTCTCTGTTGGGACGCTGGACCTGGTTTCCAGCAAAGCAGAAGCTGGGAAATGGCCCCAGTACTCACGGGGTAGAATTGTGAGGTCCCGGGCCTCGAGTGGATTTTATTTCATAATAAACTGTGTTCTTCCGGTTAAAAAAAAAGGAAACAAGGACCGAAAAATGAGCGACACGAAAAAGAAAAACATAAGCGTCAGCCAAAATTGATGTCAGAGCATCGGGGGAAAACATAAACGCCGGCATGCTTTCCCCTTTCCAACTTCCACGCTTTTGCGCTGAAACAACAAAAACAAAGATCGAAGAGAAACACATCTGTGCGCTTTCCCCTTTCGGGAAACTCTTTCCCGTTGGGGCGAAGAACGATTTGGTTGCGTTTTCCTTTCGATGGTTTGAGTTGGTTTGTGTTTTAGTGTTAGGGTTAGCGGCGTTAGTTAGTGTTAATTAGGATGTGAATGATGTGATGTTAATTAGAGTTAATTAGGGTGTGACGTTGCAGGCTGACGGGTGCTCCGCGGTGGGGTTAATCCAGGCCAGAGAGCCTGGTTCATCCCTGCAGGCCGTGGTTATTGATGTGAGGGACGCTGGGCCCGTTTCCCAGCCTGTGATGGTATGATGTACTCCTCCTTTTTGTAAAACAAAAAAAAAAAGGCAGCACACTCACACAAACAAAATATGGTACATGGAACCGGAACTGGGACTGGAAGTGGGACAGGGGTCAGATGACTGTGAAATCCTTTCATTCCCGCCGGTCTAGTTTCGCGGTTCTCTGAGAGAATTCCATGGTTGATAAGGAAAGCCGAGAGCCTTTCTGCACTGTGTCGCCTGCTCCTTCTAGCTTGCTCATAGTGTGATACTATTCTAGGAGCAGTCTCAGCAAGTTCGTTTATTATTGGGCAAGCAATGAAGGGGGTGGGGGGATGAGATCAAGACAACGGGTCACAGTTTTCGCAGCAGAGGATGGCAGCAGCCATCTCTTCATAGTGTTCGGAGCAAAGATTGCGCCATGTGCATGCTAACCAAACTGTGCCTGTGTGGAGACACAATGGCATGGCACAGCCACAGTCTTCTGGAGGTTCCCCCTCACTATCCAGGGGCAGAATCTGCCCAATCTACACAGGGAAGGGATGCTGCCTGGCCGTGTTCAGGGGAGGGGGGGGAGGGTCAGCTGGATTGTTCTACCGGAGGCTGTAGAGCTTACAAGTGTACATCCACACACTGGTCCTCATTTACCAGCCAGAACGAGTGCGATGCCGCCACTCGGTTATAGTAAGGGCCCAAGAGGTAATATTCCCCACTGTGTGCACCCTCTACTGCCATTATCCTGCAGGGTCCATGAAATATCTGCAAAGGCAACAGCACTGAAAGTAGGATGTACGCATGAATATTCGGGTCCATGCCAGGCATATAATGCTGTGGAGCGGCCTGGAGTTGCAGTCGTTTTTCCATAAATGCCATAGACAGTACTTCAATGTTCAAGCCCGCTGCAGTACTGCCATCCTCTTGGCAGACAGCCCGGTGCTCCTCTTCTATCCAGCAGACAACGTCTGCAAAATCAGAAACAACACATGGGTTGCCACTGCAAGAGGAGACACAGTAATCGCATAGTACGCACGGCGGCGTCGCTGTAGCACTACAAGATCATTGATTCTGCAGATCGCACGGCAGGATGAGGTTCAGCCCTGTGGCTGTACTAACTCCATTGGCTCTAGCATGCATTCCGGAAAGAGATCCTCTCCAGTTGAGGGCTCCATCAAATGATCAGAGGGTGCATCATTGTCAGTTGGAGTGGGGGAGAAATCAGGCCCAGGTGGGTTAAAGTGTGGGGGTCAGAGGCAAGAAGAAGAGGAAGCTGATCAGTCGCACACAGGTGGGTGCAACTCCTGTCTGGTGCACACGTACGCCTGCAGTGCTGTAAAAATCATTTTACATTGTGGAGTGACAATGGAGTCGATGTGGACACCGGAATCGAGATGTACTATTGATCGCTCATGCGTACTGGGAGCAGTAACATCGTTCTGTAGGGTTGTGAGCATGGCGTGGCAGCAGAACTTTGGCCGCCACCGGGGGCGCGACGATCATGCCGTTCATGTACAAATGAGGCCGCTGTCTAGGAGGCAGTGGTGGAGATGGCGAATGTCTCAGCTGAAGAGGCCTCTGTGATGGCTGATCTGACTGCAAATGTGTTGATGATGAGGACAATGATGAGGGGGAGGAATGCGAGGAGGAGGGGGAGGACGAAGAAGAGGAGGCAGTTGTCAGAGAGGATGATGTAGCACAAGGTGTAGGTGAAGGAGCTGGTTGCTATGATGGTGGTGTTGGTGTTGGTGGTGGTGGTGATGGAGGCACACTTTCGGCAGCAGCCGCATTGGTAGGATGTAGGCTATCATCCCAGGCACTTTGACAGCATTTACGTCGTCTGCTACGGATGGCCAGGCTTACAGCTGGATTGCAGTATCCACATTAGCATATGTGTCATTCGGGCAGTTATAACAGGGGAGGGCCAGCTCACTGCGAGTGGCTGTTTGGAGGGCTGATGCTGCCTGTACTCAGAAGTGGCATTTGGGCGCACGGGGCCCACAGCGTGTGGCTGGGTGGATGCCCGATGCTGCCTGTGCTCAGAATTGGCATTTGGCAGTGGGTGAGCATGTGTGTCTAAAGTACGTGGTGGTACTGCCCACCTTACCCCCCTGGCATTGCCACGGACATAACGTCGCCGCTGTGGAGAGAGAATCTGCCTTCAAGTTGAAAGGTTTCTGATTTTCCCTTTTTTTTTTTTGCCTGTTTCTGATGTAGAGAGAGAACCCTCCTCTTGCCTGTCGTGTGTGCCGCAGGTGGAGCTGCGGTGGGCAACAACTTGTTTTTTTTTAAAAGTGTGATGGCCTGGTCCGGCCCTAGGGGATTTGAATTCATAATTTTACTCGTCTGAGCCCATCAAGATCAGAACTTAGGTCTGCTTATCAAGGAGGTCACTGGGGTACCATCCAGCTAAATGGGCCAGGTGAGCCCATGACGAACTTGCATTCCTGGAAGACAAATATTTCTTGCCGAGGGTTGTAAGGACAGAAAGACAGATACAAAAAAAAAAAAAAAAGAGCGAAATAGGTGCAAAGGCTTTAAACCCTAAACCCTTATCCCTAAGACCCTAACCCTAAACCCTAAACCCGAAACCCTGAGGATAGGAACATGAATGATGTCAGCATATGAATGAAAACTTTGAAGAAATTTAAAGAGAGAGAAAAAAAGAGCATATGAAATGAGGAGCCCATACCTTTCGTATCCTTGGCCATAGGTCCTCCATAACATCCCACCATAGATAATTGAGTTCTTTTCCGGCAATACCTTTGCCGTACTCCTCCTCCTCAGTGCTATCCACCATCACCTCCTTGCTGTCGTTGGGACTTACAACATACCTGTCTCTTATACACATCTAGATGTGTATAAGAGACAGGCCCATACCTTTCGTATCCTTGGCCATAGGTCCTCCATAACATCCCACCATAGATAATTGAGTTCTTTTCCGGCAATACCTTTGCCGTACTCCTCCTCCTCAGTGCTATCCACCATCACCTCCTTGCTGTCGTTGGGACTTACAACATACTCATCCGACGAGGTTTCAACTGTCTCGACTGAGATGTTGTTTTTGTCAGTCTTGAAGTCCTTTTTCACCCTAGCATACTCCTTGTCACTGCTCTTTGTCACTGCGTCCTGCGTATTGTCACTGCTATTGCCATCCACTTCCAGCCCTGCTGTGCGTGAGCTTTTAACTCTGGTGAGAGCTGCAGTGTCGTCATCGCTCTCCGGGTCCTTTTGTACGTCAGCATCCTCGTCCTCGCTCTTGTTCCTGGTCATTTCCTGGTTATTATTGCTGGTGTCAATATTGCCCTCCAACTCTCTCACATGTGATCTGCTGTCTGTCTGCTGAACCAGCAAGTTCCCATCATGCATCCCGAAATGCTCTACGTTACGATCCTCCTCGCTCGCCGAAACCCACTTGTTGCCGCCGCTAGCGTTCCACTCCGGCTTTTGCGCATTTGCACTATCAGCCTCTGCTCTAGAAGTGTGTGCGCCGTTGTTCTTCTGAAAGTCGTCTACGTTATCCGACTCCTCGCTGGCGCCAGTTGCTGCCTGTAGGTCAGCTTCCTTGCTGCCATCCTCCGCCGCCATCCCTCTTGCATGCGAGCTGTTGCCCACTGCCACGGGCACATTGTCAACACCCGTCTCGGAGTCTTTTAAGTTGGCGAATGTGACTCTTTCACTCTCCCAAATCACCTCCATCTTTGCTTGGCCTGTCTCCTTAAATTCATGCTTTGGACGCATAGGCCAGAATGTGACATATAGTGCGCTGACCTCCATCGCCACAATGACGCAGGTAGCAATTACGAGGAACGTTGTAGCCGACGGCATACGGGTTGGTCGTGTGGTGCTGGCAAGATGTGAGGGCATACGCCTGCCTCCTGGCTTGTCCATCTTGAAGAAATTGCCTCCCTGTGACAAAAAGAAAGTGAAAAATCTGTCATATCACATGGCCATGACAAATCTGTCATATCACATGGCCGTGACAAATCTGTCATATCACATGGCCTTATTCTAGGTAAGTATGCTGCGACAAGTCTGTCAAACACCCTCATGCTCATGAAAAAAAAAGAAAGTGACAACTTACAAGTCTGTCACACACCCTCTTGAGGGGAAATATTGAGCCTTTGAGGACCTTGAGCCATGTTCTGGATCCCAAAGGTGCAGGAGAGGGGAGGAGGCGATGTGACAACAGTGTAACGCTACGTAAAAGGCACTGTGACCGCAGCGTGACACACAGTAGCAGGCAGTGTGACAGGAGAGTGGAGGAGGCAGAGTGACAGCAGTGTGACACAAAATAGCAGGCAGTGTGACAGACGACGAGAGGAGGTGTTGTGACAGCAGTGTGACCCGAAGTAGAATGCATTGTGACCGCCGTTTGAAACAAAGTAGAAGGCAGTGTGACAGCAGTGCGACCCGAAGTAGCAGGCAGTGTTACAGCAGTGTGCCGCCAGTACGAGCTTGGACCAAATAGTGGACCAAGGCACACTCCCTCCAACCTTGCACCAAGATTGCACCTATTGCAATGATTTCTTGAACAACTTCAAGCCAAGGGCATGGATGGACAAACAGCACGAGATTGATGAGAGTTGAAAGCACCAGGATAGAGGGGAGGGCAGAATGTTGTCCACAGGCTGCAAAACGCTGGACCCGGTTCGCACCAAGAGCAGGTAGACCGACTTTCCACAGTCTGTGAAACCTCCAAAACAATGGACATGGTTTTCGACACTCCACTTTGACGTTCACATTGGTAGAAAAAGGGCTGTCCTGGACATGCAGATTATATAAAAAATATGATCACAGGCGCTGCTCAAATGGATGGTGCTATCTGTATATTAGTTTATATATCGTCAAATAGAACTGCCCGGTAAACCGTAGGCAGAGAGG